AACCAAAGCCATAGGAGATATAGCATTTTGAGCTTGCATTTCTATTTACAGTGTTTTAAAGAGGAAAAAAAAAACCCTCAGGTTCAGAATATTACTTACCAAACAGAGAAAAGATGACTTATCTTTTTCGGTCTTCACTGTATACATTATGTATATTTCAGAGCAAGGTCTGGTTTCCATTTCAGTAATTGATTTGAAATAGAGCATTTTGGCATTAGAAATGTAGACAGCAGTTATTTATTCACTATAACCAAGAAGCCGCTTGAGGTAGACAGTTTTCTGTAAGATTTGTCACAGTTTCTATGTGCTTTGGAAATGTCTCTAATTTCATTAAGCTTAATTCAGTTTTCTGTATGGTAAAATGTGGGCAAATACATTCTTTTTAACAATATCATAGAGATTTTATGCTGTGAGCATTTAATATGTGGAATTTGCTTTGGCTTCCTTGAAAGGAATTACTAAGTAAATGTGATAGCTAATTGTATGGGTCAACTTGACTAGGCCAGATGATTCCCAGTAACTGATTAAACGTCGTATTTTTGTGTCATTAAATAATCACATCAATATAGTAAAAAAATATATATGGGTATGTATCTTCTATTGGTTCTGTTTGTCCAAAGAACCCTTGTTAATAACAGTAAATGAGAAACCTGACTTGAATCTTGCAAGTGAATATTTTTTCTTACTGATGGACACAATTCATGATTCTTCTTCCTTTAAGAGATGATCCAAAGGAAATGGTGAAAGTCTCTGGTTCTAATTTTAGTGACTTAATAATGTTTGCATTTATAACTTGTGGGAATAGATTGGGAAGTGATAGAAATTTGAACATTAGAATTGCTGCAGGATGGGACCAGCAGGTGGTGTGGTGGTTAAGGTGCTGGACATTCCCACGTGGCCAACCACGGTTCAAGTCCTGGACCTGGTGGTTTGCTTTCTCACCTTCCCATATTTTTTCTCTCTGTCTGTCTCTCTCTGGTCAAATTAAAATAAATGAATAAATAAAATTAAATAAATAATTCTTTTTAAAAAAAGAATAGCTGTAGGAATAATGGAAAGAGAAGGTTAAAAAATGAATTTTTTTTTTCTTGGCGAGGTTTTTGCTATAGGGCACGTGCACTCACCAGACAGACAGAGACAGAAAGTGAGAAATCACCCCCCATGGGGGATGGCCATGCCACAGTCCCTTCTCCTCCATTCTCCTCTCAGGATCTTGGGCATGCAAGCACACACGCCCAGTGTGAGTTTTAAGCCACCGGGTCCAGGACTCAAACCGCGGTTGACTACATGGGAGTCCAGCGACATAGCTATAATGCTAACTGCTGGTCCCCCTAAAATGAATTTTTAATATACTATTAAATATGTGAATAACTTTTACTGTGTAACATATATTAATATATATTAAGAGCAATGAATATGCAGGGAACATATGTTTGACACAAATTGGGGACAATAAATGGCAAGAACTAATCTCACTGGGTGGGGGAAGTGGCCCCTAAGTTCTGTTATGTACCCTAGGCCACAGGTGATAGGTTTATTCAAGATAAATTCTAGATTTTCTTGGGTATGGTACATGCCACACTGCGTATTGGTAAGGTTGTTGTTGTTGTTGTTTTTAATTCAGATAAATAGAACCTGCAGCATATGAGCAGAAGATGAGAAGGGATGTCCCAACACAATCAGTGAGGCAGACAAAAAGAGAGGAATTCCTCTTTCCTCTGCTTTTTGTCTTATTTAGGTCTTCAGCAGATTGGATGATACCCACCTAAACTGGAGAAGGCAGAGGACTTTACAAGCATACCAGTTCAAATGCTAATCTTATCCAGAAATACCTTCAATGACATTCCAGAGATAATAGTTAATCTAGATATCCCATGACCCAGTCAAGTTGACACATAAAATTAACCATCACATCTTGACCTTACAAATTTACTCTTGGGTAAAGTAAGTGAAAAGATGAACATTCCAAGCCAACCCAGAAACAATTTCTCAAGAGCAGTCTACACAGGGGATGAATTCCTCTATCATGACTGCTTACTGGGAATGAGTATGTGTGTGCTGGGTGTGGGTGTAGGAAGAAGGGCAGTAGTTATGTTGTAGCTGATAGATAGGCAGAGCCAGCTTTGACAGAACAGAACTTGGCTATAGAGTATAGTTTAAAATTAGAGAATTATCATCATATCAAAATATTGATGCCTACCCATTAATGAGGCATTCCTTGGGGCTAAAATGTGTCTCCTGGAAATTGTTGGGGCTATTTCTAGAGAATATTGGGTTCTCGGAAAAGTCGTGACACATTTTTACATAGAAAAACGTATCATGACTTTTCCAATCACCCAATATAGTAGTAAGTTAATGTAACCACTCCCATTGATGGGTAGGTTTATAAACTGGTCACGAGTTGGTGACCAGAAGCAAGCCTGTTGGGGAACTGAGTAGGTGCATTTAGATAGAGTAGGTGGCAACATAAGAAAATCTGATGTCTAGAAAAGAAAGGGGTAGGAATAGAGAAAACAACATTTGTGGATAATGAAGATAAACATCTGATTTTACCTGCCTTATTTTGCAGATATTGATTTTACTAAATTTTTATGAAGGAGAGACTAGTGAACATCTTTTTAATATCTAAATAAATAGATTTGTGGGGAGCAGAAGAGAATACTGGGAATAAGAAATACTGTAATCATTCAGGTTCTCAAATCTGTTAATAGCTGGGCAGGTCTCTTACTCTCCTAGTCTAGGATCCCACAAATGACCTAGGATTTGCTTTATATCTATTAAAACCCAAACCCAAAACACATCACTACCAACAACACCTACATTTAGGAGAAGGATCTGTGAAAAGTTGTATTAAAAATCCAAACAAAACCCTTGGAAGTTTTCCATCCATCTCTTCATTTTGAATTATGTTACTGATATCTTTCTTTTATAAATATGTACTACACGCTCCCCCGACCAGAGGCAAAAAAAAAAAAAAAAATCAAATACCTATTACTTCTTGTCTAAAATCACCAGGCCCACACTCTTCACTTTTTTATCAGTTTATTGTTGTACATATGAGGTATCATGCTACTATCAGGATTATATCCAGGTTTTTTATTTTAAAAAACTCAGAGAAAAAAATGTTTCCAGTAATTTTCATTCAATGTGAATGACAAGAATATTATATCTATAAACATTGAAATAATCATTTCATTTCTTCCTGAGGAAGTTTCATGGTTTAAGCAATGAAAAGGGAAATCTATACAAAGCTAGTTTTAAATCACATTCTCTCTCATTCTTTTCTTATGTGCATTTATGTTACTTTCAGAATAGTATAATAACCAGCTGAAGTTTATAATGTAGAAAATATGATGTACTTTAGATTTTGATGCTATCTCTAAGACACATTGAGTAGTCAAAAATTCTTCCAGAGGTTTGCTGTTCTAGGTAGCATAATATGTGTATTTGGGAGTAAGAAAAATTTGATACAATCCCTTCTTTTTTTCTTCTTTCATTATATGAGAATTGAATATGTTTTTGACACTTAGGAATGAACTGTCCAGGTGACTCAGTTTACCTAGACAGAGTACTGCAATCAACAGTTTTGTTTGGTAGTTCAAATGTACATCTCATTATTAGCAAATAAATGTATCATTTTCTTTTTATTAGCAGAAATGTCGCCAAATGAAAACAAGACACTACTAATTGTTGTGGTTGGACTTACTAAGTTTGACCCTCTTAAGCTAGTTTTCTTAAATTAGTGAGGATAAAAAACTATGATAATGTTTCTAGCATGTTTGGCATATCCCACTTCAAAAGAGTGCAGTAAACATGACGGTTGTTTATCATATTTGTCCAAATGACTTCAATTTTGCTTTTACAGTCGGCGATCTTAAACATTGGTTTTTCTCCAATTCTTTGTGCTAGTAGTTTGTTTAAAATCATATTATTCTTTGGGAACATGAACTTTAGAAAAACACTGAGCTAATAATTATAATTACATTTAAAATTTATAGTAAGTGGAAGATTTATACAATTTGTTTTCTATTTAGTTAATAATTTACAGTTTAGTTTTACACATTATAATGACAATGAGGATATTTAGGTAGTAAATTTTCTTGCATTTTTTTTTCCTAATCATACCTTTGATAATATTTTATAACAGCTTATATAGTCATAACAGAATTTAGTACTAAAATTTTATGTATATATACAGTATGTTTAAAAAATTAGTAAATATTAAGACAGGAAAATAAGTAGGACATCTTCCTTCATTTTGAGGGGGACTACTTTATTAATCATGTATATACTTTAAAATTCAAATGTAAATATAGTTCAAGAATCATGCCTCGGTCATCTTTGGACTTCCTACATTTAATTCCGTAGGTAATCCATAAATTTAACTATGTTCTGTCGTCTTCCCTAAGAGTGATGTGTGAAATATTCTGAAGACTGTGACTCTGTCCTGCTGGCTTCTCTGCCTTGTAGTAACACTGTCATTGCAAATATCATGTTACAAATCATATATTAGTTTGTTTTTGTGATAAATCTCTATATTACACAATTTTATTTTGAACTATCTGGAAAAATGTAGTTTTTCAATAATTTAAATGTAAATAGCCTAAATACATCATCTAGGAACTGTCTCTAGTTTTTTAAAATAGATTTTGCTCTGGGGAACATTAAAACAACAACCAAAAGTGAGTCACATTTGAAAGTCAGTCTGTTAGTAGAGATAACACACCTCAGATTCTATGCATGCCTTTCTGTAGAACTAGTGAGGGCTACTGGAATAGACTTGCAGCTTACAGCTAGTGGACACAGAGCTCTTGATGATATATCCTTAAACCCCTAATCATTTCTCCCTTTTAGAGGATTTAGTCAGTACACTTTACATTGCTATTTGGACTGTTTCTAGTTACCATCCAACAGCTTTACAATATGTATTTCAGTATAACAGTTACATTATGATGGAAAAATTTGTAATTTTTACATAAATGCACTGGTCTATGTATATGCAAAAAAATCACTTTTTTTTTTTTGCTATAGCACTTATTATTTTTTGATGCAGGTAAAGTTTATATGTAACTTTTCCACTCTGATGAAGCACAAATTATAATTTACAGTTCTTTCTAAATACTTCAGTGGATTTAAATTTTGGCAAGCATTTTTCATGGGTGTTATGCTTTTTGCATTTTATATTACATTGTATTTTGTCTCTTCTTTTGCAGGACACCTTATAGAATCAAAGAATTAGAAAACATTTTACAGGCAGACAGTGGTCTAAAAATCTACAGAGACACAATCTTAGTTGATATATAAAAGTGGAAATATTACCATGAAATGGAACAGTTTTGCATTTCTATTTGATATTTACGTTGGTGGTTACTGACTTCCACATGAGTGCCCAGTAGTCTTCAATAATCCCACAGGCTCAGATATGGGTCAAGAGAAAGGCCATAGGTCTCAAGGCTTGTAATAGAAATGTTTTTGTTTTTGTTTTTCCTAATCATCCACATGCCAGCACATGGAAGGAACTTTGTTCTTTTTTTCTCATTTGAAGAGGTATATTTTCCAACAGCCATTTGGTAGCTTCTGGGAGCTTTGGACAAGGTGCAATGTTTCATGGAAGATGAATTCTCCAGAGGTTTTCCGCTCAGTGCTATCTCACTTTCTGTAGCTCCTGTCTCAGCCAGGAGGGCAGAGGCTGCCCCAGTTTGTGCAGCAGCTTTGAGAGTTCCACATTGTGATCTCGATAGTAGCTTGACAGAAATGCCCTGCTCTGAGCAGGGAGGAGAGAAAAGTACATTTGATTTTATTCTCTTTATTAAAGTACATTTCAGAATCAGATACTCCTTACATATATATTGCCATTGATTAATAATTTGCATTAAGCGTCTGAACTATGTATTTAGCAGAGCTTACGATGTTTTGCTGATAATCTTGATGGGGAGTACTGTGCTGGGAGGGGTCTGTTTGAGGAGTGATGTGATGATATTGGACCATTGTCTGCTCTAATCAGGCTTTCTTCACATTTGTACTGTACTTCCATTACTTGTGTGGAGGCTCCTTAACTGACTCCTCACTGTTTGCACAAAACCATTCACTCTATTCACTCAGATAAACCCAGTATGTATTACATGTAACTGTGTCGAGAGAGCTAGAAGAATTAATATGAGAAATACTCTGAAGGTATATTTTAATAACCAACCAAAGTAAATAGGAGTTCTGGGGATGCAATTTGTTGATCAGAACAAGAGATTCTCTCGTCCTGCCTTTTATTATTATTATTTTTAAATTATGATTTCTGGTTTATATTTAATCATTATATATCTTTGTGGACTACAGTATGCCTTTTTAAGCCATGCATACAGTGTATACAATCAAATAAAGACTATATACATATTCATTTCCCCCATGCCGTCTATATAAAATCTATTATAAGTTTATTGAGGCATGTATCTTTATCAGGTTGGGCATAAAAAATTGTCTTCAAAGTCTTGTTAGGTAAAAGCACTCAGATACTTTTTTTCTGCTTAGATAATGTTTTGAGATCATCTTGGAATTCTCAATCAATACAATGTAGAACATTGCAGGGGAAAAATTCCAAGTAATATTTTAATTTTTGAGTCAATTTGGTAAAAAGTTTTTTTTTTTCTTACCAAATTTAAAATCATAATCTGCTTGCATTCTTCCATCCAAACTATATACTAACTAGATTATTTTAAAATATTATTAATAAATATTAACATATGTGAACTCAGCATTAAAGTAAAAATACAGGGTGTATAAGTTGCAAAAACTGTAGTATTAAGTGATTGTTATGTCACCATTCTAAACAGAATGAGCATGAAGTAAACACTTGGCCAAGTGTGTGGTTCTATTCCTGAAAGCTTAAATTATCTGCTAGTGTGTTAGACATTTGGGAAATATATTAATTATTTTATCTTGCTAGCATATTAATAGTCCAAAGCTTAATGTATTATATCAGGAATTAATCTTATTACTCAGGCCACATTATTATTACAGAGTGAATTAGCAAAAAAAACCCAAAAAAAACAAAAAAAACACTCTTGTTCCTATTTCCAATTTTCAGTTAATACATTTCCTGTCTTAGTTTCAATTAACATTTTAGTGATAAAATTTCTGTGCAAATATCATTCTTTTTGGAATGCAATGTTATCCTTTTTGTTCTGATTCAAAATGGAAGGTTCTGGGAACCTGCAGTTAGCGTAATGGCTATGTTGCTGGATTCCCATGTAGTCGACCGTGGTTTGCGTCCTGGACCCGGTGGCTTAAATTTCATGCCGGGCGCGTGTGTGCGCACCCAAGATCCTGAGAGGAGAATGGAGGAGAAGGGATTGCTGCGTGACCATGCCCCCTGGGGGGTGATTTCTCGCTTTCTGTCTCTATGTCTCTCTCTGTCTGGCGAGCGCACGCACCCCGTAGTGAAAAAAGCCTCTAAAAGAAAAAAATAAAATAAAAAAGGAAGGTTCTATTGTTTTCTTTATTTTTGTATGACAAGAATAAGTAATAATAATATATCCTTGGAAAAATCAAAACAAGCAACCTAGGCATACTGAAATCTAAATATCACTTGCTAGAAAGTCTGTATTTTATTCTAACCACTTTTCTAAGAAAATATATATATGATTTTTCTTTCTTTCTTTTTTTTTTTTGAAGGCATGTGTGCTTGCCAGAGACAGACAGTGAGAAGGAAAGTGAGAAATCACTCTCCTCCTCCCCCAATTCTTCTCCTTGCGGGGTGGGCACACATGCGCATGTAACCAACATAATTTTTAAGCTGCCAGATCCAGGACTTGAACTGTAGTCAGCCATGTAGGAGTCCGGCACCTTAACCACCGTGCCACCTGTTGACCCCAATATTATTTTTTATTTTGCTTATTTTATCTATAATTGTAAGCTCTATACTTACATCAGAATCCATTGGAGGGTATTTTCTTCCTTTGCTCTTTCCAAGGCATTTCGTTTTACCTTCTTCTAGTAGCTGACACCAGAAACCTTTATGAGAATCAAACCTAAAAAATAAAAAATACAAAGGAAGTATTTTTAATCAATTTATATAAGATATAATGACCAATAACATAATATTTTTACTTGGATATCTATTTATAACCAGGGAAACTGGAATCTTTAAAAATTACATCCATTGTATAGTCTTCTGGCTTGTATTTCAGAATTCTCAGTCCATCTGTTATATTTATGAGTTTGCCAGATTCCTAATAGAAAAATTGTCAGCAGAAGTCTCCTATTAATAGAAATTAATAAGGCTACCTCCTTCATCTTGGAGGAAAAAGAATTCATAATTTTTAAGTGCATTCTTTTTCTTTGTAGGGTTTACAAATGATAAGTCAGTCTTTTATCCATATCGATGGATTTAGATGGTACTTGTACTTCTTTTGGTAGTAAGCTTTGTTTTAATATTTTAAATCCCTACCTGTAAATGAGATTTTCATCATAATTATAGCAAAAATAATAGTAGCATGTTAAGCATATATTAGATTGTTGGAAAAATCATGACTTTTTAATGTTTTTCTATGCAAAATGCATCATGACTTTCCGGACAACCCAATATTTTAGTTTACTGAAATACTCTGTATAACTGTTTCTTCTTTGATCCTTTATTTGAACCCCTTAGGATACGGTAGGATGCTTTCCATTGTATATCACTTAGTGTAGTGTTTGGCTCTTATGAACATCCACCAAATATTATTGAATTAAACCATGAAAAAAAAGAAATGGTTGTCAAGGTTTATTTATAGTGTATATAATCAAACAAGGATATATACATATTCATTTCCCCCATGCCTTCTATTGGGTCATTGGAAATTCCCAATTGGAAATTCTATGCAAAATTACATCATGACTTTTCTGAGAACCTAATATATCCAACCCCTGGTTTTCAAATTCTCATTGTCCATTTATGTAAGTTTCCAAAATAAATTAGTATTAAAAAATTCATAAATTTATTCATTTTAATATATAAATTAACTGACCAATGCAGTTGCCAGGTTCAGGTGTTTAACTAATTATAATTTCTAAATGCAAAGATTTTTGTCATGGTCACTGATGGCAAGGTTTACTTGAGAATGGATATATTCATGGCAAAATGTAAAGTTTTTTTTAAAAAGTTAGTTCATACAAATTAGCACAATTCCATGCTAAGCTTTATTTTTCCTGCTTTTTCTCAAATGATAAAGCAGTTTCAGAACATTATATGACATGTAAGGTGAAAGTTAATGTCAGTATGTCACACCTATTTATAATTTGGAGATTAAGGTTATGTAGAATAAGAGTCATAAAATGCCAATTTACTTAATAGAATGAAAAAGTTACCACTTATATTGTCTTAAGCTTATAGAGATTATTTCAAATCACACCCACACTGAGAAAATCTGACCTTTTTTTTTTTTTTAAAACCCCATATTCAATAAGTCATTTAAAATTTATGGTACCAGTATTAAGTCATTTTAAAACAACATAGACTATTGATGTATGAAACTTGGAAGTATTGAACACTTTCTTTAGCAATTATGGAAAGGAATAAAAAACACTGGACAATGGAAGCTTATTGCTATTCTTTTTGAAAAGAGGTTTTCTGTTTGTTTTCTTCAGAGAGATTTTTGCCATAGGGAGTGTGCGCCCTTCAGAGAGACAGAAAGACAGAAAGCGAGAAATCATCCTCTGGGGGGATGGCGATGCCATAATCCCTTCTCCTCCGTTCTCTTAAAATCTTGGACACACACACACACAGACACACACACGTGCCCATCGTGAGTTTTAAGCTGGATCTGGGATTTGAACCGTGGATGACTATGTGGGAGTCCAGCGACATAACCATTATGCCATCTGCTGGTCTCAAAAAGAGTTTTGATACTAGAATTGGCTATATTGGAAATAATCAGTTTAGAGACCTGTTACATTGGCATAATCTTTCATACCAAGACTGTATAGTAAATCCTGTGTATAGTCTTAGTTTCATTCATTTATTCTATATGTGAAAAGCACTAGATTTATGTTGTTAGTTCAGAACTCATATCAGTGTGCAGTTTAGTACAGCCTTAGAAAACTTTAACCAGAGATAGTCTCCATTATCACTCGCAGGAAAATGAGAAGCAATACCAAAGTGCACAAACGATGTCTTGACAACTCAACTAGTATAAACAACATTTCTAAGAGTATACATATTGTACTCCCTCATCGCCAATATTTCCAAAGCACCACAGCAAGAAGTATCAGTACAGGGTTACTCTAACCAGAGTAACTCAACCTACTGACAGGTTTCAGATAAACAACTGCAAACGGCATGCGGTGAAGGAAGATCAATTTAGACATAAGACAATGACATGAAACTTCAATATTCTTTAAGCACACTGCTGGTTTTTACTAAGTGTGTCAGGCCAACTGATGATTAAGATGAAAATGTAAAAAGAAACAGAATGGAAGGGCATTTTCTCTATCACCAGGGTGAGAGATTGGGCAGCCCTGCTGGGTCAGAAACTGGTGTCAGGGACTACATGTATCTTGCTCCTTTACCCTCTGAGCCCCCAACCAGGTCAGAGAACACAGAGTGGGTAATTTTAGCCAGATACATCCCAGGTGCAGAGGGACCCACAGTTCTTTGTATATAGTACGTTGCTTTGATATTAATTCTCTTAGGTTTCCACTGCCTTTTCTCAGCAGTGGAGGGTAATAAAAAGCTTGCTGCAAGGCTGGATGCAGAGGAGACGGATACACAGCATGCAGGTCAAGGACCATTCCATAAGAAAAGAGATTATGTCTTTACAGAACACTCCATTTCTTTTTTCTGAAATACACTACTTTGCTCTATACTCCATAAAAAAGACCCAAAGATAAGCCAACTTGAAATAGAAAACTGTTTAGAAAATAAAAGATTTTTTTTCCCCCTAAGAGATACTTACAACGATATAAAGCAGAAAGTGGACTTGGCTTTCTAACTGCAAACTAAAATCACTCAGCTGCCTTTAAGGTCAAGTCGAATGTTAAATATCTAACACAAAGGATCTATGTTACCGCTTGAACTAAGTGCCATAAAACTCTGACTGTACCAGTAGTATAGAAAACGCACAGGCCAGAAGGCTGAGAGTAACAGCAGAGTACATGATTCTCTGGAAAGAAGCTCAAAACTTCAGAATTTCACCTACTTCTTTATCCTCTAAACTCAAATGTCCCGCTTACATGTTTCTACATATTATTTGTACAAAACATAGGCAGTATTTGACAGTTTTCTGCCAATCTTTTACCACAAGGGATGCTGCTGAAAGGTAAAGATAGCCTGCCTTTCATTTTCTAAATTGATCCAGTATAAAGAGTACAGTAAAAAGGGTAAACAAATTGATCTATAGAACTGAATTTTATACAGAGAAATACAATGGAGGAATTCCATAATTCCATAATAACATTTTCTGACTTCTTTAAGTCTCCATGAGTCTAACATTAACAGTTGTTCTAGGCATGTGGGATAGCAACAAACATGACCCTCGTAAATCTGATCATGAACTCATAGGAACTACAGATTAAGTGGAAGTCATGTTTATTTTTTTATTTAAGGTTTTTGCCATAGGTTGCCTATACTCTCTGAAGAGAGACAGAGAAAAACACAGAGATAAAGTGAGAAATCATCCCCTAGTGGGGATGGCCATGTTGCAATCCCTTCTCCATTCTCCTCTCAGGATTTTGAACACACACACAGGCTTGGCATGATTTTCAAGCCACCAGGTCCAAGACTCAAACTGCGGTCAGCCATGTGGGAGTCCAGTGCTTTAACTCCTATGCTGAACCCTATAGTCTATACAAACATTAAATGTGGGACTAGCAGATAGCGTCATGGTTACATCACTGGACTCCCACGTAGTCAGATGCGGTTCAAGTTCCAGATCTGGTGGCTTAAAATTCATGCTGGATGTGTGTGCATGCACACCCAAAATCCTAAGAGGAGAATGAAGGAGAATGGATTGTGGTATGGCCATCACCCAGGAGGAGGATTTCTCACTTTCTGTCTCTCTATCCAGCAAGCACGTACACCAGATGGCAAAAATCTCTCTCTAAAATAAAATCACTAAATGAAATCAGGACTAGGGTGAGGTAAGACAGATACCTAGGACACAAAATTTAAGAAGGCACTCACTTGGCACAGATGTGCACAGATCTGAGAGTGAGAACCTACTGCCCCTCTTGCCTCTCTCTAGACCTAGTCACAGAGTTAATTATCTAAGAAAATCAGAGGAAATCAGCAAGAAAAAAAAATAAAACATAAACAAACCAAAAAACTATAGCAGTACTGTAATGGCTGAGGTCTCTGAAAGACTGGTGACAGAATCAGACTTACGGTGAAGCAAAAAATGGAAGTTTGTTTAAGCTCTCAGCCTGTTCAGTCTCTTACTGGGTTATTTCTTTTGTTGTCATTTTTGCTTTATTTTGTTTATCAGAGAGTGCATTCTCTTGCCAGAGGGAGAGTGAAAAAGAGAGAAAGTATCCCCACTGGGGTGTGGTCACATGCCTCAATCCCTTCTCTCTATCTCTGGATCTTACTGAAATCTTAGGCATGCCTGAATATGTACCTAGTGTGTTTTTTTAAGCCACTAGGGCTGAGATTTTTCGTTTTCTTCCTTTTGCTTTCTTTCTTTCTTTCTTTCTTTCTTTCTTTCTTTCTTTCTTTCTTTCTTTCTTTCTTTCTTTCTTTTTAAGGTTTTTGCCATAGGTTGCCTATACTCTCTGAAGAGAGACAGAGAAAAACACAGAGATAAAGTGAGAAATCATCCCCTAGTGGGGATGGCCATGTTGCAATCCCTTCTCCATTCTCCTCTCAGGATTTTGAACACACACACAGGCTTGGCATGATTTTCAAGCCACCAGGTCCAAGACTCAAACTGCGGTCAGCCATGTGGGAGTCCAGTGCTTTAACTCCTATGCTGAACCCTATAGTCTATACAAACATTAAATGTGGGACTAGCAGATAGCGTCATGGTTACATCACTGGACTCCCACGTAGTCAGATGCGGTTCAAGTTCCAGATCTGGTGGCTTAAAATTCATGCTGGATGTGTGTGCATGCACACCCAAAATCCTAAGAGGAGAATGAAGGAGAATGGATTGTGGTATGGCCATCACCCAGGAGGAGGATTTCTCACTTTCTGTCTCTCTATCCAGCAAGCACGTACACCAGATGGCAAAAATCTCTCTCTAAAATAAAATCACTAAATGAAATCAGGACTAGGGTGAGGTAAGACAGATACCTAGGACACAAAATTTAAGAAGGCACTCACTTGGCACAGATGTGCACAGATCTGAGAGTGAGAACCTACTGCCCCTCTTGCCTCTCTCTAGACCTAGTCACAGAGTTAATTATCTAAGAAAATCAGAGGAAATCAGCAAGAAAAAAAAATAAAACATAAACAAACCAAAAAACTATAGCAGTACTGTAATGGCTGAGGTCTCTGAAAGACTGGTGACAGAATCAGACTTACGGTGAAGCAAAAAATGGAAGTTTGTTTAAGCTCTCAGCCTGTTCAGTCTCTTACTGGGTTATTTCTTTTGTTGTCATTTTTGCTTTATTTTGTTTATCAGAGAGTGCATTCTCTTGCCAGAGGGAGAGTGAAAAAGAGAGAAAGTATCCCCACTGGGGTGTGGTCACATGCCTCAATCCCTTCTCTCTATCTCTGGATCTTACTGAAATCTTAGGCATGCCTGAATATGTACCTAGTGTGTTTTTTTAAGCCACTAGGGCTGAGATTTTTCGTTTTCTTCCTTTTGCTTTCTTTCTTTCTTTCTTTCTTTCTTTCTTTCTTTCTTTCTTTCTTTCTTTCTTTCTTTCTTTCTTTCTTTGTGAGAGATTTTTGTCATAGGGCACAAGTGCTTGCTGGAGAGACAGAAAGAGTAGGAGAGAGACTGAGAGACAGAAAGTGATAAAGCATCCCCTAGGAGGGATGGTCACACCACAATCCCTTCTCTTCCATTTTCATCTTGGGATTTTGGGCACACACGCATACACAGCCTGCATGAATTTCAAGCCTCCGAGCCCAGGACTCAAACTGTGGTAAGCTATGTAAGAGTCCAGTGCCTTAACCACTATGCCACCTGCTGGTCCTGGGATTGAGTTTTAATCATGGTCAGAAGATCTGGCATCCTTAACACTAGGCTACGGGCTGGTCATATTTCTTGCTATATAACATTGTTTCTGAAAGTTGCACAAAGAAAAAGAAAATCAGTTCCTAAACCACTAGTTAGTCACCTCTTTATGCTTTAAAGGGGTCCCAATATTGTTTGTTAAATAAGCTCAGCCTTACTAAGTTATTTCAAGTAGCCTCTTTTAAGGTTAATTATTGGCTTTAAGATTTACAACTGTTTTATTTCTCTATTTTCCTTCTGGGGAAATCTCTATATAATTAGAAGTCAGCAGAGAAGTTAGGACATTTGTCACTCTGTTGAAATGTTATTTTCCAAGTGTTTAATGTCAAATTGAAAAATAATAAGTATATAAGAAACAGTTAACCCAACAATTACATCCAAACTACATTTTTTC